AGGCCATTGCTATTAGGTTGAAGGCCATTGCTTCCAGGTTGGAGGCCCTCGCTAGCAGGGTGGAGGCCATCGCTAGGAGGTTGGCCCTCGCTAGTAGGGTGGTAATCTTTCGTTCCTCATGTCTTCGACCTCAGGTGACCAACATGAGCGCGGCTGAGTTGAGCTGCTTCCGCACCCGGTCGTTGTGTTTTTTGGACTCTTTGAGCCACCTGGGCGGCAACGGGTAAAGGGAAGAGCGGGTGGACAAGCACGAGAGGCACCTGAAAGAGGATCACTAGATACTGGTAATACATATACATAGGTACATGTATTAATAGCACATATAATTATATATATATATGTATTTATTTATATATATATATGTGTGTGTGTGTGTGGCTGTTGTCTTATGTTTCTTGTTTGTCAAGCTGAATTGCTGAGGCGACCTTCTTCGGAACCGGCAATTGGAGGTCAGTGCCGATGCTCCTTGGCATGATTGAAGCCAAGAAAGGTGGAGACACATCCATCAAACTGCACCTGATGTCTCCTGCCTGCCCTAAGAGTGAGCAGAGTAAACATGTGGTCCTTGCATCATTTGATTGATATCACATGGGTGCCATCCCATCAGCTTGGGCTGCGACACGGTGCGATCTCTAAGCTGCAACCCGGTGGCCGCCGTTTCAAACGGGTTGAGAAGCAGTCCAGCGTCCAGGTGGAGATGCCCGTCGCAGAGCCCATGGACGAGGATAGCAGCAGCCGGCCCTTCTGAACGGAGCGCAGCAGAGCATAGAGCTGAGGCCAAAGAGGGCCAAGGCTGAGAACATGCAGAAAGCCTTTCAAAGCAAACAGCAGGTAGGGCCAATCAGTTGTGCAATGTGTTTCCTTATCCCACACCAAGGAAGAGCAGAAGAGACATTGAAAGAACAATATAGAGTGACCGTTTTAGCGTGCATGGTGCATAGCATCGTGATGAAAGTCGCCAACTAAGTTTATGCTCCAAAAACAACTCCGACATGCTACAAAAGTCCTTGCGAAGTAATTATGTGATTTGTGCATATGGGTGGCCTGCTTGGGGTAAGGCAGGCACTTGACTGGGATAACCGCTCATTGGTCACGCCCAATGAGCAGCGGCCAAAAGGGGTCAATGGATGCGCCCAGCGAGTGTGGTCCTGCTTTTTGGCCCGATGGCCTTCAACCTAGAAGAGATGGCCTCCAACCTAATAGCGTCCTTGCGAGTAGCGATGCCAGGAGCCCCTTTCGTAGCGAACCTTGTTCCTAGTAGTAAGGCCAGGAGCCCCGATCGTAGCGTCCTTGTTCCTAGTAGTAAGGCCAGGAGCCCCTAGTAGCGAACATTGTTCCTAGTAGTAAGGCACTTGTTTCTACTAGCTTCTTGTTACTATTAGTAAGGCACTTGTTACTAGTAGCGATGCACTTGTTCCTAGTGACCGGTTCTGACCGGTTCTGTTTTAGCGACTTGGATCTCCCACCTGACCGGTGGTAGAGCTGCCGTTCGCAAGCAGAGACAAGCAGAGAATTCAGAAGCCTTCATGAACCAATTCGTTGCCGTCGGACCAGCATGATTCTTTCTATGTCTGGACTGATTTTCTTGATTTGGCATTTCTCTATTTCGGAGTTTTCCCAGGCTCTCAGAGACTCCAACAAGGCAGACTTGGAGAAACGCTTGTTGGAGGAACAGGTGAACGACTCCAAGGCACTTTCGCGGCGCATGTAGTTTTTTGGTCCGTTCTGGCCAAGGAGGCGACGGTCGCGCAAGAGTTGCTTAGTAAGGCCAGGAGCTACTAGCGCTACTAGTACGTAGCGTCCTTGCGAGTAGCGATGCCAGGAGCCCCTAGTAACGTAGCTTCCTTGCTCCTAGTAGTAAGGCCAGGAGCCCCTAGTAGCGTCCTTGCGCCTAGTAGCGATGCCAGGAGCTACCTGTAGCTTCTTTGTTTTGGACGCCCAAGAGTCATCAAGAGTGGATGAAGACGATGTCCGGAACCGACACCTCGGTTTCGTTGCGAGGCAGAGATGGATCAGACCCGCAGCATGCTGGAGATACAGCAAGAGGAAAGGGACAAGTCGGAGACTTTTAGGTTTGAAAACATGTGGAGTGGAAGAGATGGAAGCTAAACCTGTGCATCATCAAAGCTAGGGGCCATGCTTCACCCATTGTGTGGTCAACCTTCCGTTGTTCAAGTCTCCCATCCAAGAGGGCTGCAAGCCCCACGTGCTGATGGTACAGCTTGCAACTTCCTGGGGCCAAGACGATCTTTTCTGTAGCTCAAGTCCACCTATTGATCCTTTGCAGGAGCTGAAGAGGGTACATCAGATGGAGGCACGGTGCGGCACGGATGGCCCTGGGAGATGCGGTTTCGGAGGCTTGGACGCGTGGCTGGGCCTTGCCCGAGCTCAAAGACACAGGCTTCCACGCATGCCTTTTCAGGAGGAAAACTCGTTTGACCGAAGTTGATCGAAAAAGCTCCACACAACCTTTAATTGCCTAGGGTGGAGGCCATCGCTACTAGGTTGGAGGCCATTGCTATGTTCGGTTCCTTTTGCTATGTTCGGTTGGCCTTTAATTACACCTTCAATGCCAGCCATTCCGCTTTGACCGGCTCATGAGCTTGGGATGTTTGGGCCTGGCACCTGCTAGGGCCTCTCACAGCAGGCCGGACGTTGCCCGGTTAGAGGGTTGGTAGACCGAGCGGCTGCACAGAAGCATACAGAAACTCTCTGGAACAGGTCCGAGAGCTGACTCATGCAGTACAAATAATTAGACAATTGCTCAAGACATGTGCATGCTTCACTCAATGTCATGGTCACCCCACTGCCTGACAAGAACATAGTCGTGCTCTCATTTGTAGAAAGGGTGGCACCAAGGCCGCCGGCCGTGCATCTACTCCTATCAGCTCACGTCAGCTTCAGGTGAATGGGAAATGCATCACAGCGGCCAGAAGGCATGGAACTCGTTGTTTTTTTGCGGGGAAGGTGTCCAGCATGCCCAGCGAGTGGTTTCACCCATGAGATTAACTCTCATGATGATTGTATTGCGGGGGGCTAAGTGCCTATGCTTGCTGCATGGGAAGTTGGTGGCCAAGCATGTGGAAACGAGTTTGTTTTGGTGTGAAAACCGTGGCTTGCAGGAGTTCCCAACAACATCTGACAATCTAGCGACATGATGTTCTTGCATGACATGTCATGGTCCGCATGCTCTATGACTTTCTCCGTGGCTTTGTCATCGACTCAACCACACAGGCGCTGATAAGGCTGTAGTCTTGGAGAAGGCCTCCACAGAGGGCACCAAGCAGCCAGAGAAAGCCCGGGAGGACACCACACCATTCACTGGACACTTGTGTTCAAAGGCTTGGCTTCAACCTATGGACATGGAGGCCAAAATGTGATGTCCCAAATGTTCCGAGTAGAGGCCACGGAAGGATATCAAGGGGGCCAGCTTAACCAAATTCACCAAGAGCTGCTTTATTCTAAACAAGCTCCAGTGAAATCGACCATATCCATGTATGTTTGTGTGTGCTTGCTCGTTCGCGAGGATATCCGTGACAAGTACGAGCTTGGCAAGGTCCTGGGCAGCGGATCCTTTGGACAGGCCAGACAACACTCTCGTGTTCCCTTCGTGTTCGGTTCCCTGTTTGCTACTAGGTTGGAGGCCATCCATCGCTTTTAGATTAGAAGCCGTTGCTATTCGCAACTCACAAAAAATGGTTGTGTTCCTTCTTTACTGTGCTTTTAGCGTTTAATGTGTTGTGGTTGTCTTGTATGGTTCCCTTCGTGGGAGACCGCAATTCTCAGACCTGGATGTGTGCAAATAAAGGAACGTGATCAGCTCCCACCGATCACCGATCAGCCGCTCGTCGCTTGGAGGTCCGGGAGGCTGCACTGAAAGACTTCCCGGTCACTGGGCGAGACGTGAGCAGAAAGACAATCGTGAAGTCTTGAAGCCGAGATCCGAAGTCTGGAGGCCTTTAGACCTGGTCTTGATTCCCGTCCATGTCATATGCAGGGTCTGCGACCTTCGATCTCCTGATCCGAGGTTCGCCTCGCCGGTCAATCCATGGTTTACATGATCACCGGCTCCGCCGACGTCCGCCCGAGGACAAAGTGAGGGCGGTCAAGATCATCGAGCGTGATGATGACGCAGAGCACGGCGGAGAGTGGAGCCGCTCGATGGCATCGTCTATGTATGGGGTCGTCCTTCTCTAAGTGTGTGAAGATATATATATATATATATCCTGTAAATTGGACAGCCCATGTGTTTACAGGTGAAAAATGCATTAGTTGCTCCTTTTCCCTCGTGACTTCGCTGTGTATGTTTGGATCTTTCACCACTAACACCGAACCCGAGGCAACAGCGCCATGTTTCGACAAGAGGCGCTTCCTGGTCCAGGGCGGAGGGCTGTGTTTGCCGATGTGTGTGTGTGTGTGCGTGCATGTCATTGCGTAGAAGAAAGGCACGTCGTCAAGCTTCCCAAAGATTCTTCGCCAGAGCGAGCTATACTTCCTATCCATATCTATGGATTGTTCTTTTCCACAACAAGATCACTTTGCACTTCTGTCCAGGTGCCTGGAACCTAGCGATGGCCTCCAACCTAGTAGCAAACTATATTTAGCCCTGTGTTTCTAGTAGCAATGGCCTCCAACCTACTAGCAATGGCCTCCAGGTGCCTGGAAGCCGCGTTAGAGTCATTCACAAGAGTTTGATCATGTTGCCATCACGAGGTGGCCCTGCTGCAAAACCTCAAGCATGACAACATTGCCTGTCGCCCCAGCTGGGGGGCAACCCGGTCAGCTTGCCAATCACTCGCACAATGAATCAGGATGAAACCAACTGTTCAGGTGATTCGCTTGGTTTTCTGGGTGTGTTCTCTTGAGTTTCGAGGTTCCAAGAACCGTTGCTACAAGAAGATTGGGGCCCTGGTGCCACGTAGATTTGACATAGGGAATGCCAGATACAAAGACAAAGCCCACAAAATGCAACACAAACATCACATCTAAGAGCTTGTGATAGGGCTGATAGGGAAGATGCGGAGATTTACACACATGAATATGCGCGCACAAATTCTCCACATGGCACACCGAGATGCTTAAGCAAGTTCATGTCTTCTTTCTTGTCCGCCAAAGCAGCCAGCTAGCTTTGAGGTGCGCTTCTGGGATGTCTACGAGGATGTGCACTTTCTGTACGTGGTGGCTGAACTTGCATGAGGAACGACGCATGAGAAAACACACAGACTGGCTGCAGGTATGAGGAGGCACGACCTGGAACCCAGAGGAATCTTCTTTTGCCAAGCCTTTGCACGCAGTGCATTGCGAAGTGAATTGAGGACGTTGAATTTCTCACACTGGCTTTATATAAGATGTTTTGAAACCCTTCATGACGACGAAGAATGCTCCTTTCGCCGATGTCGGAGCGAAGGGGATCGAAACCTTCAGTTGAGATGTTCTGTCCTCAGGTCATGGATCTTTGTCGAGGAGGCGAAGTCTTCTCGCACCTTGCACGAAAGAAGAAACGCCCAAAAAGGCCGGCTCCTGGCCTCGCTACGAACGGAGCGATCGGACGGAGCACGTTCGGGGCTTCCAGTTCGCCCCCTCAGAGCGGCACCGAGACCCTAAGCTCGCTAAGGAAGATCTTGGAACTTCGACGTTTCACCGAAGCAAATGCTGCGACACTTGGATCTCAGATGCTCGCATCTTGGCGAAGCGAGAGAGCCTGGATATATCTCCTCAAACTTGGCAAAGGGGCCAGGAGGCTTCACTGCTCCAAGCAAGCAGTTGGGAGTGCGTCAATGGCGGTGCCGAGGCAGCAATTGCGTACATCCACACAAAGAGCATCATGCACAGGGACATCAAAGCAGCTCGGC